TATATATATATATATATAACTTCAAGTTCTCAAATTCATCTGGCGGGCCAAAAATTATTATCGGTGGGCCAATTTCGGTCCGCAGGCCGGGGGTTTCCGACGGCTGCTCTAGTTCGAATGGAAATGATATCAATGTTCAATGGACAATTGTTAAAGAATGGTTCCTTCAATGAAGTGACATAAAAGGTGTCATACCCGGAATGTGTAGTCGACTATGTAACCAGTTGCGGTGATTGCGTAGCACTGTCAATTAAAAAAGTCAGTATATTTTCATTGAGATATTGCAAACTGATATAATGGCCGTTGAGCATGTTTCAGGCATAAGCCAAAGCATCATTTAAAAGAAACAAATGAATTCTCGATGGAAAAATCGAATTCTAAACATTACTTCACTTTATGCTATCAAATAGCAGAATGATCGAGCAGTCACCTCAACCGAGTGATGCAATGAATCTGATTAAATTAGGAAATTATGCAAGCGACAAAATCAACAAAATGATTCAACCGCAAATGGAATTTGATCATAGCGCATAGCGACGCTTAAAAGCTTAGACAGGTTGGACAATTTCTGGACGGGTTTAACAATTTTTAGAGTCAAGGCAGAACCATATTCAGTCACACACCGTACGCAAGAGGAGCAGCCAAATCAGTGTTAAAGTAAACGAACCATAATCAGTCTGCAGTTATAACACAGTTTGATCTATGTTATCACCAGCATCACGAATCATTCCTCGACATCGATCTTTTTGTGCAGATATTGACGCAGGAAATCATCCGTTTTCACAGGCTTATAGTCTGGATAACTGTACTGTATCTGTACTGTAGGTCTATTCTGCATTCCTTTTATATACCAACGAAATGAATCAGATCCAAGAGAGACGCGCAGAATAGAATAGAAGAGAACAGCTGAAGAGCGGAACAAATAGAACAGAATGGCTCTTATAGGCTGTGATGGTGGAGAACATAACGGAATGGAACAGTTTAAAAGGCAGCACGGAACCATTTTTGCTTTTCTTTCAACTGTACTCGGTTCGCGAAGGGAACTGGTTGGATTGATTAGTGCGCTGCGACTACTGGGACTTATTGGTGCACTGGAACTGTGGGGGTGAAGGTTACCTCCGGAGACGACGTGCTTCCGTGGTGGACTGAAGAAGACTGAAACTGTGACGCTGTTTGGCTCGTCTTCTATGCGTTTTGATCGCTTCGTTGATGACAATTTATCCGCCCGCCTTCATTCGATGACTTTTTTGTGACTACGCATTTTGTTGTCAGAAATCGTTCCTTCTCGAATATTTCCATTTGTTTATATTCAACTATTAATCTTTCGACTAGAAAAAATTTCATAGCAAAATACATAATTGTACCCAATTCGCTGGTAAGGCGATAGAATAAGATGAGAACACACACACATGTTGTAAAGTCAGCAACCGTCTTCAGTTTGCATGATGGGATGCATGGATCATACGATGGATTTGATGGGTTTCAAGTAATTAGGTTAGGAATTCTTATTGTTAGAGTGGAAAATAATCTTAAACGCTTATTGTGCGAATTGGTTTGCGAGTGAATGTCAAATGTTTTTCGAAATATAAAAAAATAACGGAGAATTCTATCTACGGTAGTGTGCCACCCTCCAGGCGGCGGAGAGTTCGCCTCTTTTGGATACAGCAGTGGCTGTAATCAAGGTAAACCACGTGCGATTGTCTTGATTGCGAACTCATTTAGTCTGACTTTCTAATGATCGAGTAAGTGTCTCGAAAGTTTGTTGCTAACAAATCCAGTTTCGGTTTTCTTCGGTTTCAGTCATTTGTCACTGTATCATATTAAATCCCCTTCGTAATTAGTCGGTCGTTCTTTACCTCTTCGATTATCATCATCACCATCTCTCGCGAACAACTATCATCGCCCAACGTCTGTTCACGCCAATCGAACAAAATCCTCAAGTCCAGCACAACAAGTTCTTTAATGAGCAATTCTATCCTAGCAGTTACTTACCTCAATTCACAACTCCACAACTATCCGCTCTAAACCAAGTGCACTCACATTCGTCTGCAATCGCTAACCTTATCCACGCAATCTGGAAGGACTCTGAGCTTGGATAAATGTAGCTCTCATTATACGTCTTTTTGTGGTGCAGTTAGAACTGCGGGAATTTGAACCTTAAAATGGGGATGGAGTTTATGTGATATGTAATTACTTTT